AAACCGTAACACTTTTCTTGGACTCACACCAGCCTGTGGACACCGTGGGCAGCAGAGTGACCCAGGCGAGTGACTTGGGCGCTGCGCTTCTCTCGGCAACTTCTCGGGAAGACGCGGTCCGCGACCTGGTTCCGCCCCTGGTGGAAATGAAACTTGCTTACTGCGTAGACGAAAAGCCATGGCAGTCAGCGGACTCGCCTAGCGGTGCCGCGGGTGGCCCCTAGGCGCTGCTGCCCTGGGAGGTGTCGCAGTTGGGATCGCGAAGGTGGGAGGGGAGCCGGCGGAGGGGGGCGAGGCTGAGCCCAGGTTGGTAGCCCGCAGACCTAGGCGCCTCGGCGGGGCGACCTCGCAGCGAGGGGGGGGGGGCTTCACCCATCCTCACTGGAACCTCGGGTGAGGGCTGGACCCCGCGACCCCTTTCCTTTTGGTTTGGAGGAGGAGGAAGGCTTCCGCGGGGTTGCTCACGTCCTTGGTTAGGGACCTGCTGCTTTTTTAACGTTTGTTTTTTATGGAGTTCTAACGTGCACACAGGGCAGCGCTTGAAGTATCGATGAGGCGTTCACGAGGGCTGTGTAGTCGTTTGTCTCGTGACCATTGGCGTTCGGGATATTTGGGAGGTGGGTTAGGAACCTGAACCTCCCCAGGAGGTGAAGTGAAGACGATTCAAGTCTCCTGAAGGGAGACTCTGGGCTCGGCCCAGCTGCCCTCCGCGGGGGATGAGAGTGGCCATTGTTGGCTACACTAACCTTTCAACATGTGTAACTTGGCAAGGACTTGGCTGGGAAGGGAGCAAGGCAGCCAGGCCAGGGTGGTAGGAGCGCTTCTGAGGAGAGTCATGCTGAGGCTCAAGTCCCGGGAGGGGGGGGGCGGGAAATTAGTATCTCGGGAGCCAAGCTTTTCCTTGAGATAACTGAAACTTTTGCCTTAAGGTATACCCCTATCAGTAGCGTGCACAAGGCGTGTTTAGAGAGCAGCTAGAGTATGCTGTATAGAATTGTTCAGGTAGCTGTGGGGAGAGTCCCAGGTAAAGATGAAAACAAAAACATAACCAGTTTTTCTGCCACGAGGCTTCTAAATGTTACCCCAAACAACGGTCCCTAATTTCACAAGGAACATCAGCGTGTGCATGTGGCGTTAAACAGCGACACTCTGTGTGCACTTGTTTCCGCAACACCTTCCTCGTATCTAGAGATTAAGTTGGAGTAATTCTGAAGGGAAGGACTTGGCCCTGGGCCAGTTTGTCAGAATGAACGTGAGTTAGCCTAGCACCAGCCCCCCCTCCTTCCTCTGCTTTAGTCTGAGCTGCAGAAGCTCCAGGAAATCCCACCCTGAGTTGTAGAAGCTCCCACCACAGCCCCTCTCCCAGCGGCGCCCCCCTAAGCCTCCATGCCCAGAGGTCAAGGCCAGAGCAGACTGGACATTTTGCACCATCCACCAGAGGACAGAGCAGTCCTCGTCCTTCCTGACGTCCAGGGAACTGGCGGCAATAAAGATAACTTAGGGTGGACCGTAATGCCCTTGCTCTGCCAGTACCAGTGCCCAACTCTTTTGATACCGAATTAGAAAATGACTTTTTTTTTTAACTGCTCAAGTAAGTAGTATCTTGTCTTCATCTTTGAAATGTTGTGTGCACGGGGTCAATCACTAAAGAGTGAGGAGCCGTGAGCTCTGAGTGGGTGTGCTAAACCTTGCTCGCGCTACCAAGAGAAGCTGTGGAAGCTCCAGACTAGTTTTGGGAGGTAAACTAAACTTGTGCTTGGGTTTCTTGGTTTCACACCGGACTGGGCTGTATCTGTTATTGTGAGAGTGTGTGTGTGTGTGTGAGAGAGAGAGAGAGAGAGAGAGTGAGTGTGTGTGTGTGTGTGTGAGTGCGTCGGATCTCAATGTCTCCCCCATTCCCTCCCTTCCCTCTCTAAGTCAATACACCTGCCCTCAGCTGTGGCCTGTGAGGCAGGAGGCGATGGGGGCTTGCAGGGGGTTTGGCCT